GATTTCAGGACCAAGGGCCTTCTTGTCCGTCGAATGAGGAGAGAAAACGCCCGCTCTTCATTCGACTAAGTATGGTGTTTGTGTGTGTGGGAGGGAGGCGTGGAGGGTGGTGAGTGTGGTGATGACATCAGTGGAAGGAATTATGAGGGGGGGGGTGATGGAGGGGTTAGGTAGTGGTAGTTGGTGGTAGTGGTAGTGACGGTGTTATTAACATTGTTGTTATTATTATTATTATTATTATTATTATTGAAGTTATTAGTATTATCATCACTGTTACTATTATTATAATCACCATTGTCATTATCATCATAATTATAAGTATCATTATCATTATAATTATCATTATCAATATTATCATCATCATCATCATCACCATTATCAACACACCTAACCCGGAGTCACTGACCTGTCCACTACCAAACCCGGAATTAAAAACGCCCCCCCCCCCCTCAAAATGTCCAGTACGTGTCCATGACCCTCGTTTACAGTCACGAGCCTTCAACAGCGAGAAAAGAGGCAGTGATGGTGCTAAAGTTTGCTGAAGTAGTAGTGTTGGTGGTAGTAGTAGTAGTAACAGTAGTAGTAGTAGCAGTAATATAGTAGCAGTAGTGGTAGTAGTATAGTAGTAGCAGTTGTTGTTATAGTATAGTAGTAATAGTATAGTAGTAGTACCTCCTATCTATCTGCCCTGTCCCTCTCCCTCCTATCTATCTGCCCCTGTCCCTCTCCCTCCTATCTATCTGCCCCTGTCCCTCTCCCTCCTATCTATCTGCCCCTGTCCCTCTCCCTCCTATCTATCTGCCCCTGTCCCTCTCCCTCTCCTATCTATCTGCCCCTGTCCCTCTCCCTCCTATCTATCTGCCCCTGTCCCTCTCCCTCTCCTATCTATCTGCCCCTGTCCCTCTCCCTCCTATCTATCTGCCCCTGTCCCTCTCCCTCTCCTATCTATCTGCCCCTGTCCCTCTCCCTCTCCTATCTATCTGCCCCTGTCCCTCTCCCTCTCCTATCTATCTGCCCCTGTCCCTCTCCCTCTCCTATCTATCTGCCCCTGTCCCTCTCCCTCCTATCTATCTGCCCCTGTCCCTCTCCCTCCTATCTATCTGCCCCTGTCCCTCTCCCTCCTATCTATCTGCCCCTGTCCCTCTCCCTCTCCTATCTATCTGCCCCTGTCCCTCTCCCTCCTATCTATCTGCCCCTGTCCCTCTCCCTCTCCTATCTATCTGCCCCTGTCCCTCTCCCTCTCCTATCTATCTGCCCCTGTCCCTCTCCCTCTCCTATCTATCTGCCCCTGTCCCTCTCCCTCCTATCTATCTGCCCCTGTCCCTCTCCCTCTCCTATCTATCTGCCCCTGTCCCTCTCCCTCCTATCTATCTGCCCCTGTCCCTCTCCCTCCTATCTATCTGCCCCTGTCCCTCTCCCTCCTATCTATCTGCCCCTGTCCCTCTCCCTCCTATCTATCTGCCCCTGTCCCTCTCCCTCTCCTATCTATCTGCCCCTGTCCCTCTCCCTCCTATCTATCTGCCCCTGTCCCTCTCCCTCTCCTATCTATCTGCCCCTGTCCCTCTCCCTCCTATCTATCTGCCCCTGTCCCTCTCCCTCCTATCTATCTGCCCCTGTCCCTCTCCCTCCTATCTATCTGCCCCTGTCCCTCTCCCTCCTATCTATCTGCCCCTGTCCCTCTCCCTCCTATCTATCTGCCCCTGTCCCTCTCCCTCTCCTATCTATCTGCCCCTGTCCCTCTCCCTCCTATCTATCTGCCCCTGTCCCTCTCCCTCCTATCTATCTGCCCCTGTCCCTCTCCCTCTCCTATCTATCTGCCCCTGTCCCTCTCCCTCCTATCTATCTGCCCCTGTCCCTCTCCCTCCTATCTATCTGCCCCTGTCCCTCTCCCTCCTATCTATCTGCCCCTGTCCCTCTCCCTCTCCTATCTATCTGCCCCTGTCCCTCTCCCTCCTATCTATCTGCCCCTGTCCCTCTCCCTCCTATCTATCTGCCCCTGTCCCTCTCCCTCCTATCTATCTGCCCCTGTCCCTCTCCCTCTCCTATCTATCTGCCCCTGTCCCTCTCCCTCCTATCTATCTGCCCCTGTCCCTCTCCCTCCTATCTATCTGCCCCTGTCCCTCTCCCTCCTATCTATCTGCCCCTGTCCCTCTCCCTCCTATCTATCTGCCCCTGTCCCTCTCCCTCCTATCTATCTGCCCCTGTCCCTCTCCCTCCTATCTATCTGCCCCTGTCCCTCTCCCTCCTATCTATCTGCCCCTGTCCCTCTCCCTCCTATCTATCTGCCCCTGTCCCTCTCCCTCTCCTATCTATCTGCCCCTGTCCCTCTCCCTCTCCTATCTATCTGCCCCTGTCCCTCTCCCTCCTATCTATCTGCCCCTGTCCCTCTCCCTCCTATCTATCTGCCCCTGTCCCTCTCCCTCCTATCTATCTGCCCCTGTCCCTCTCCCTCCTATCTATCTGCCCCTGTCCCTCTCCCTCTCCTATCTATCTGCCCCTGTCCCTCTCCCTCTCCTATCTATCTGCCCCTGTCCCTCTCCCTCCTATCTATCTGCCCCTGTCCCTCTCCCTCCTATCTATCTGCCCCTGTCCCTCTCCCTCCTATCTATCTGCCCCTGTCCCTCTCCCTCTCCTATCTATCTGCCCCTGTCCCTCTCCCTCTCCTATCTATCTGCCCCTGTCCCTCTCCCTCCTATCTATCTGCCCCTGTCCCTCTCCCTCTCCTATCTATCTGCCCCTGTCCCTCTCCCTCTCCTATCTATCTGCCCCTGTCCCTCTCCCTCCTATCTATCTGCCCCTGTCCCTCTCCCTCCTATCTATCTGCCCCTGTCCCTCTCCCTCCTATCTATCTGCCCCTGTCCCTCTCCCTCTCCTATCTATCTGCCCCTGTCCCTCTCCCTCTCCTATCTATCTGCCCCTGTCCGTCCCCCTCCTGTCTATCTACCCCTGTCCCTCTCCCTCTCCTATCTATCTGCCCCTGTCCCTCTCCCTCTCCTATCTATCTGCCCCTGTCCCTCTCCCTCCTATCTATCTGCCCCTGTCCCTTGCCTTCCTATTTCCCTGTCTCCGTTCCTCTCCGCTCTTCTCCTCCTCTCCCCCTTCTCTTCTCTTCCTCCTCTTCTTATTCCTTTCCCTGTCGCCTTCCGTGACAGTCGACAGGCCCTAGTCCTCCCCCTCCGCCTCCCCTATTGCCCAATCCCTCACCCCCCCCTCCCACCGAATACCCTAAGTGGCCACCCCCGCTACACACCCATTGTAGATAACAAAGCGACATTTACACCCCTTTAATTGGCTCGCCGGTAACCTAATGACCCAATTATGTGGTTCTCAGCGTCGGAGCCGAGATGTTCCGTATATTAATGTGGAATTATGGGTGTTTATCTGCAGAGAAATCCTTGTATGGGCGGCGCGGGCGAGGTAGTGTGTGCCTGAGCGGGGCATTGGTAGGCTGCTCGCGAGTGATTCTGTTCTGCTTTTGATATTTATTACGATGCTAAGGATGAACTGTTGCTTGTGAATGGTTTACGGTGTGTGGATGTGTGTGTATCTTCAATGGTGGCGTGTGACTTGGCTGTACGTGTGTAGTGTGTGTGTGTGTGTGTGTGTGTGTGTGTGTGTGTGTGTGTGTGTGTGTGTGTGTGTGTGTGTGTGTGTGTGTGTGTGTGTGTGTGAGGACGAGAGAGCGAGAGAGCGAGAGAGCGAGAGAGCGAGAGAGCGAGAGAGAGAGAGAGAGAGAGAGAGAGAGAGAGAGAGAGAGAGAGAGAGAGAGAGAGAGAGAGAGAGAGAGAGAGACAGAGCGCAAAAGAGAGAGAGAGAGAGAGCGAGAAAGAGAGAGAGAGAGAGTACAGATCTTGTGCAATTCTGTCACATAGTCTGGAGATAGACACCTCACTTCCCACTTAACCAAAATACAGACTAATGCTCTTAACGCAACCACGACCTTACGACCTCGCAAAAACCCATCCCCACTCCTAGTCACTGACCTGTCCACTACCTAACCCGGAGTTAAAAACGCCACCCATCAAAATGTCCATTACGCGACCCGGACCGTCGTTGAGTCGTTTCAATAGCGAGAGAAGAGGCAGTGATGGTGGTCGAGTTTGCAGAAGGAGTTTCAATAGTGATTTAACACAACACACGTGGTATTTTTTAACGTCATTCTCACTTGTTGAAGGAGGTGGAAAACGATGGATGACGAGGGAACAGAGAGGGAGGAAGATATATATATGGGGGACAGGGATCGCTAAGGGTGATGTAAGACGCTCCATTTTCGAGCTGAACGAAGGGGGGTAAGTTATGTATGTTATAACCATAGAGGGCGAGATATGGGCGTGAAAGTCAATAGGGGATGTCTTGATAGAAGAGTGAGGGTGAAGAACGAGTGTAAAGTGATCTATTGTAGGAGTGAAAGTCTTGGTGTGGTTGTTACCTTTTTTGTGAGAAATGGTAGATGTTTGGTGCCATGGTTGTTACTTTTATGTTAAGAGTTATCAAAGGAGTAATCTTTACCGATATCATCATGGTTGAAATTATTAAAGCTATTGTAATAAGCACTATTTCTATAGTTATCAGCCCTAATATTAAGATCATTATTAACATCACAACAAAGCATACTACGACAACTTAAACACTACAAACATCTTTTAATGCTGAATCATTATCCCAACCGTTTCTACCACCCTAATTATAAGGAAAAGAAAAGAAATTATAAGAAAAGGGGAAAGGGAAAGTAACTTACACACCTCCCACAATTTCATCAACACCATTCATCAACATTATGGTTTTTACAGCCCTGATTATATATTCAAAAACGAAAAAAAAGGAGAAAACGAGAGAAAAGGTAAAAGTTCTCACATCATCCTCAATCATCAGTATTTCTACCACCCTAATAATGATAATAATAATAATAATAATGATAATAATAATAATATATATAGAGATAAATTAATAAACGAAGAAATGAAAAATTAAAATTACCCGCGCCCTTTCTCCTCCCACAGCTGTGAGACGCGACCAGGCCCTCAGTACGTACTACGAGCCTACAACTTCCACCGCGATGGCACCTTCCACTTGGCACTCCACTTCTACCGCGACCCGCACTGCGCCCACCCCGCCCACTCCCTAGCCGCCCACGGTCACCTTGCCCTCGGCCGCCCTTCCTGGGTCACGCCCGGAGGCACAGAGGCCGAGTATACGCTCAGCAGGTAAGCTTTTGGAGGAAACTCTTTTCATTGAAAAAAAAAATGTTTTATGTCCGTTGTCCATTTATTTTTGTTCCCACTGATATGTTAACAAAAGATGTTGGTTTCTTAATTGTTCGCAAGAATTTCAATGGTTGAGCACAATGCACAGAGTTTTTTATGGCTACTTAAACACTCACGACGCAAAATTTGAGTTGCATGATAAAAAATAATAAAAAGGAAAATAGTTACTTCATGTGAAACCACGTTTTTTTTTCTCAAGAATCTCAAACCGGGTAATAAATGAAGAGAGAACAAGATACGGCACATTCAAACCACGCATTATCATTCAAATTTATCTCGTTAATGCTTTTAGAAACAAGATTTTTTTTTTGTGGGGGTGGTATCCTACAGACGCCAGCGAGTTCCTTCACATCCTCCTGAAGGCGATGAAGGAGCTTTACTCTACGTCATTTGTGTTACGTCACGTCCCTCTCTCCCTCCCTTAACGTTGACGTCTTTGAAGGAAGGGCGTTAGTAAATATTGATTTGTGTTCCTTCACATCCTTCCCCTGTTGACGTAAGGGGGAGACAGAGGCCGTGAAAGTCAAGGTGTATTCGTTCACATCTCTTTGGGGTTGGGGAGTGATAGGCCTGTGTGATTTTTTGCTATTTGTTTGTTTGTTCGTTTGTTTCAGTGGTCATTCCGTTTAAAAAATGCAGTTTGTTATGTAGGATGTATATCAACTTTTGATAAGACAGCAATATAAATATTACTTCGGTTGAACACTCGCTGTCAATGGGATAATAAGTAAAGTATTTATCCGAGCACCTGTATATCATTATATCACATTTTCTTTTTTTCTACATGTACACATTAATAAAACAAGAAGAAAATTAATCTAGTTCAAGATTTTGTCATCTTGGCAGAGGAAAAGAGAATAAAAAAAAAATCGTGAAATTTTATTATTATCGACTATTTTCTTTTCCTTCACATATACGGCGTTAAGAAAACAAACAACAAAAATTTAGTCGATTATTACCCCATCTTGCAACAATAAATAAATGAAACAAAAAATAAATAAATATAAGAATTTTCTTTACCGTCCGTTTTCTTTGCCATTCGTTTTCTTTACCCTACGTTTTCTTTGCCATCCGTTTTCTTTACCACCAGTTTTCCTTACCATCCGTTTTCTTTATCATCAGTTTTCCTGACCATCCGTTTTCTTCACCATCCTTTTTCTTTACTGTCCGTTATCTTCACCATCCGTTTTCTTCACCCTCTGTTTTCTTTACTGTCAGTTATCTTCACTTTCCGTTTTCTTCACCCTCCGTTCTTCTTTACCATCCGTTTCCTCCACCATCCGTTTTCTTTACCGTCCGTTTTCTTCACCCTTCGTTTTCCTTATCCTCAGTTTTCTTCACCGTCCGTTTTCTTCACCACCCGTTTTCTTCACCCTCCGTTTTCTCCACCACCCGTTTTCTTCACCCTCCGTTTTCTCTCCCAGGGTTGAGGTCGTCGCCCACACGCACCGCGACGCCGCCATGGTTGCCGCCGCAGTCAACGCCTCCTGCCCGGGCAAGGTCACGAAGGTAGGTCATGACCTTTTCCCCGAGGAGGGCCGCGGATTAAGAGTCCGGTTTGCAATTTGAATATTGAGTTGTGGTTTGTGAGCAGTGGTGAAGAGAGTTCTTTGAAGATCTCCGTTTCTGTTGCCTATTATCGTTGTGTGTGTGTCTATATATATGTATATATATATTTAGTTATCTATGTGTACATATGCATATATATATATATATATATATATATATATATGTATATATATAGGTGGATAGATAGATGTGTATGCATATATGTATTATATACGGTATATATAGATAGATAAATAAATAATGTAAGTATATATGCATACGCATATATATGTATGTATGTATGTAGATGTGTGTGTATATATATATATATATATATATATATATATATATATATATATATGGATGAATAAGTATGTGTATATATATATTCATACATATATTATATATATATATATATATATATATATATATATATATATATATATGTATGTATGTATGAATATATATGCATATACATATATCTATCTATATACTTATATATGCATATGTAAATATGTATATATATATATACATTCATACATATGTAATGAATTAATAAAACACTCTCAGACCTGAGGATGGAATCCAGGTGGATTCCGAAACTGTCGTCTCATTTTCATTTTCAATAAATCTAGTTTTTTACATATGTAATGTGTGTGTGTGTGTGTATATATATATATATATATATATATATATATATATATATATATATATATAAACATTTATGTATTCATGTATATATATGCGTATAAGAATTTTTACTCTGTCACCAAAGTCCGAGTCAATTTTCCTTATACAAACTAAAAATATTCTTACTAAATTATTGCTACCAATTTGTCAAGCTCACTTCTAATACAGAAGATGACAATGTTACTTGGTTATCGCCACTACCACCCCGATAATAAATCAATTTTGACTTTGATTTTAATATGACTTAACTGTTTTAATATAGCACGTGGGGTGGACTGAATGTATTCCTGTTGAGTGTGTGTCCCGGTAATACAATCTTCATAGAAACAGTTTTAGCCATTTTTGTTTTATTCTGTAAGGGAATTAACTTAAACCCAGGTGGCATGTCACAACGTAAATCTTGAAATTTTCATTATAAGCAAAGCAAGAAATGTTTTCTTTTACTAACTCTACACTCTCGTTTTGTCAACCTATTCTGAAACAATAATAATCATAAAGAATGGATTTAATATAAGCAAGAGTGAGACGGGATGAGACACTAACCTCCCCGGTATTTTTCCTTTATTTACTTCGACGAATAAGTGATCAATCCTTACCTCCTAACTCATGATTTTCCAAACCTACGTTTTACTTTGCTCCATTTACCAATCTTTTAGTCCAATCGGAATCACCTTCGACTAATTCAGTTGCCGTATACAAAATAAATAAATAAATAAATAAGTAAATAATAATAATAAAAACATAAAAATGAAAAATAAATAAATATATAAATAAATAAATATTTCTTAACAGATAGCAGTAAAGATGTATTGGTGTTGCTTCATTTTCCTCCTTTGTCTGTCCGCTTCTCTCCGTGTGCTTTAAGTGCTTGAAAGAGAGCAAAGAACCATCCCAGTTATCACAATTCAGGGCATGTGGATTCAGTATTTATATTAATTCAGTTGTCCAGCATTATAACCTTCGATTTCAGTGTAAAGAAAGATTTTTAACCAGCACTGAACATAACAGTGAGTGGGATGAGAGGAAAGACCTGACGGTGAAGGTGATGTTAAAAGTGCTTACTCCTTCCCCCTCCCCCCCACACTGAATTGTGAACATTTAAATAAACTAACTATTTATAGATAATTACCATAATTTACTTATTTAGTTCCAACACTCAGTTTTGCTATAAATAATAATTTTGGTGGAATTTGGCAATTCTGCGTGGTCCAGACATTTTTATAATTATTGCCAGTGCACCTTCTAAAAGTCGATGTCGACACACACACACACACACACACACACACGTATATATATATATATATATATATATATATATATATATATATATATATATATGCATATATTTATGGATACTTTAATTTCCCATTGAATACCATACACTTGATACCCTTATCGTAGTTTTGGTCTATCTCTCCGTCTCATTCTTCCCTCTTTCTCGATGTTTTTCACCCACTGTTTCTCCAGTCTCCCCCCCTCCTTTCATGTACCTCTTATCTTCCTTTATCATCTCTCTATCTATTTATCTATTTTCTGTATATCTCTTATCTCTCTCTATGTATCAACCTATTTATTTATTTATTTCTGTATTTCTCTCTGCCTGTCTGTCTGTTTCTTTACTTCTCTCTTTTAACCTTGTTCATTCCAAACTCCTCGTTTTCTCCGTTCATTCCAATTCCCTTCTTTATCACCTCTCTCTCTTTCTCCTCTCATCTACCCTTATTAATTATTCCCAAACTTCCCCATTCTCCTCATTTATCCCTAATCCTGCCTTTATCATCATGTCTCTCTCTCTCTCTCTCTCTCTCTCTCTCTCTCTCTCTCTCTCTCTCTCTCTCTCTCTCTCTCTCTCTCTCTCTCTCTCTCTCTCACCTCCCCTCTACCCTTGCTACTTCCCCATTCACCCCATGTATTCCCAATTCCCCCTTTATCACCCTCTCTCTCTCTCCCTCCTCCCACAGCCATGGAAGCCCCACAAAGCCCACACTGTTCTCGCCTACACGGAGACCGGCAACCACGTGACCGAAGACGAGGATTGTGGGCGTGGTCTCGGAGGGGCGTGGCATGAGCTGCAGCTGCTGAGGGTGGAGGAAACGTCCCCCTTGAAGGCCAAGAAGGACCCGTCTTCCTCCTCCTTAAGGATGCGTCGGGAGCTGTTTTTAGGGGACCTCCATACCGATCTCAGCAAGCAGGATATTTACCGTCCGACGGGATACCAGCAGCCTCTCCTCAATACGAAATATGTAAGTGTGAATGGTTTTGTGTTTGTTTTTTGCTTGTGTTTCATTTTGTTTTTGGTTTTGTTTTTTACTTTTGTTTCTTTCTTTTTTTGTTTCTTTACTTGTTTCATTTTGTTTTTGTTTCTTTACTTGTTTCATCTCTTTTTTTACTTGTGTTTCATTTTTATGGTGTTTTTAATTTTGTTTTGTTTTGTTTTTTACTTGTGTTTCATTTTTTAAAATTTGTGTTTCACTTTTTTTGTTTTGTTTTTTTTACTTATATTTATTTTTTTTCATTTTATTTTTTACTTGTGTTTCATTTTGTTTTAGTTCTTCGTTGGTCATTGTTATTTACTCGGTACTTTTTCACATTTATTTCTGTTTTTTTTTCGTTATTGATCAATGTTTTATTCAATCATTTATGCATTTATTTGTTGTGTAGTATTTTAAGAAATTGTTTCGTGATGTGATCTGCAGCTGGTTCTGTTTTTACGTGTTTTTAAATAACTATTTCTTTCTTTTATATCAAAACTGTCTATGACTTCATCTTCGAATAACTGTTTAATGTCGTATTCGAACGCTGTCTGACGTCATCACTGGAGCTTTTAGATTGTTACTCATTTTTCTGACGTCATTGTTGCGTTGTGACATTACTTAGATTTTCTTATATGTGTATAGTGTGTATGTGTGTGTGTGTGGGGGGGGGTTAAGTGTGTGTGTGTTTGTGTTTATGTGTGTGTATATTGGGGTTTATGTGTGTGTGTGTGTTTGTGTGTGTATATTGGGGTTTATGTGTGTGTGTGTGTTTGTGTGTGTGTGTGTGTGTGTGTTTATACGAGTGTGTGTGTGTTTGTGTTTATGTGTGTGTGTGTGTGTGTGTGTGTCTGTGTGTGTGTGTGTTCATTTCTACTATCTATCCATTACTGCATCTTTATTTTCGTCAGGTTCGCGGACATAGCAGCTTCCAAGCGTCTATCGTCTTTCGCTCTTGAAATTTTAACAGGGATCAACGTGTTGGCTCAGTTTGGTTCAGTTACTTGTGTCGGTCGCTTTTATCTCTCCCTCTCCTCCTCCTCTTCCTCCTTCTCCTCCTCCTCCTAAACCATCACCACTTTTCCCTGCTCCTCCTCTTCCTCCCCCTCTTCCTCCTCCTCCTCTTCCTCCCCCTCTTCCTCCTCCTCCTCTTCCTCCTCCTCCTCCTCCTCCTCCTCCTCCTCCTCTTATTCCTCTTCCACCTCCTCCTCTTCCTCCACCTCCTCCTCCTCCTTCTCCTTCTCTTCCACCTCCTCCTCTTCCTCCTCCTCCTCCCCCTCCCCCTCCCCTCCTCCTCCTCTTTCTCCCCTCCTCCTCTTCCTTTTCCTCCTTATTCCTCTTCCTCCTCCTCCCCCTCCTCCTCCTCCTCCTCCTCCTCCTCCTCCTCCTCCTCCTCCTCCTCCCCCTCCCCTCCTCTTCCTCCTCCTCCTCCTCCTCCCTATCCCCCTCCCTTCCTCCTCCTCCTCCTCCTCCTCCTCCTCCTCCTCCTTATCCTCCCCACCAAAAGACGACCACATCGGGGCATCCTTACGCACCTCCTACAGACAACATCCTTTGTAGCGCTGTCAGGATTGTACATTCAACCGCCCCCTCCCCCCCTTTCCCCTCCTCCCTCCCTCCTCCCCCCTCCCCCTCCCCCTTCTTCCCCCTGCTGCTGTTGTCCTTTGAAACGATGAGTTGGACTGTACATTTACTGACCTTTCTTTTCCCTCCTCCTTTCTCCCTCCCTCCCTCCCTCCCTCCCTTCCTCCTTTCCTCCTTCCCCTCCCCTCCCCTCCCTCCCTCCCTCCCTCTATCCCTCTCTATCCCCTCCCATAGACAGCCTCACCCCCCCCCTCCCCCTCCCCCCTCGACCCCTCACACCCCTTACCCCCCACCTCCAACTCCCCCCCCCACACACCCACCCCACTTCCTCCTTTCTTCTCCCTGTAATGAAACTAATAACGTAAACACACACAAAAAGAGAGAGAAGAAAGAAATGTCCCTCTTCCACTGAAGTGACGAGGGACAGACCACAGATGGCGCCACTGCGTCTGCTCTCGGGAAATAAATGCGATGTTTAAGTTGATAGAAAGGATTATAATGATAATAATGATGATGTTAAAGATAGTAATGATGGCGATATTGAAGGAAAGGATAATATTAAGGATAATGATGACCCTATTAATGATAATAATGATGATGATGTTAAAGATAGTAGTGATGGAGATATTGAAGAAAATGAAAATATTAAGGATAATTATGACCCTATTAATGATAATGATGTTATTAAAGATGGTAATGATGACGATATTAAAAAAAATGGTGATATTAAAGATAATGATGACCCTATTAAAGATAATAATGATGATAGTAAAGATAATAATGATGTTATTAACCCATTCGCCGCGTATGGCAAGAATAGATGCCATACCCACTTTGATACACGTTTATTTATTGTATTTACACATAGATGGCTCTACAAGTTCTTAATCACCAAATAGCCAGTTATCAAGAACTACCTATTTCACCTGTTTAGCCTTTTCCTTCACTTTCGGAAAGGGTTTTTTGTATCATCTTATTGTCAAAAATATTCTAATGACAATTCAATCATCATAACATCAGTAACAATAATAACAGCATCGAAAGCAATGATATTAATTTTCCCGCCAATTCAATGAATGGGAAAATCAGGGTCGGTAACTAGGGCCTACTGATAGACTCCTTGCCGGCTGAGTACATGTGGAGCCATCTGTAGGTAGCAAAATTCACCAAAACCAACAGGGAACAGAACATAAATCCGTGGCCAATGGGTTAAAGATAGTAATGACGGTATTAAAGGAAATGATGATATTAAAGATAATGATTGATTATATTAAATATAATCATGATGATAGTAAAGATAATAAGGATGATATTAAAGATAGTAACGACGGTATAAAAGAAAATTATGGTGATTTTAAAGATAATGATCACGATATTAAAGATAATGATGGTAGTTTTAAAGGTAATAAGGATGATATTAAAGATAGTAATGACGGTGTTAAAGAAAATGATGGTGATTTTAAAGATAATGATATTAAAGATAATGATCACGATATTAAAGATAATGATGGTGATTTTAAAGATAATGATGGTGATTTTAAAGATAATAAGGATGGTATTAAAGATAGTAATGACGATGTTAAAAATAATGATGATTTTACAGAAATAATTTTAAAGATAATAATTATGATGATATTAAAGATGATAATGATGATATTAATGATGATAATATTAAAGGTAATAATGATGAAGATATTAAAGATAGTGATGATAATAAAAATGATGATAAAATACTGGGGAAATGATAATGGTAACATTGATTATAATGATATATTAAACATGAAAAAAATGTGATAATAGTAGTGATAAGGATATTAAGAGCAATAACAATTATAATAGTAATAATGATAATAGTAATTGTGATATTAATTATAATAAGGATGACTGATAATTATAATAATAATGATAATGATGATAATGAGTGAAGACGAAAAAATAAAATAAAAATGACCACGAAATGCCTAATGTCTCTTCGGCCCATTCCTATTCCAAAAATTCCCATTCCTTCCTTCGTTGGCATTTACCTACTGGGCAGAATCCCCCCCCCCCCGTCCGCGTCCCCTCAGCCGTGAAAGTCGGGAAAATAAATTATTACGGAAAGTCAAAGTCCGGGACATTTATTTTTCCTCGTTAAAAAAGGGGATACATTCTAGGGATCCGAACGCGCGCGCTTACGTACACGGATCCGAACACATATTTCGAATATATTGTACGTAATCCAGAATGACGCACATATATGTATACATACACGTTTTTCGTGCATATACGCGCAAAGATACGGATCTCAAGTTATACACGCACACGTATACGCACACATACGCTCACACACACACACACACACACACACACACACACACACACACACACACACACACACACACACACACGGAGGGAGGAGTGGGGAGGGGGAGGGGGATAAGAAAGAATTATAATAAATAAAAAAGGTCCTGTCCTGAAGATGAAAGTGTGGGGGGAGGGGGGGGGGGGCATGAGAAGTCGGTCAGGTCAGAGTTCAGATCGAGACTTACCGCCCCCCCTCCTCCCCCTCTCTTTATCTCCCTGCTTCTCTCCCTCTTTATCCCTATTTCTCCCTACTCCTCGCCCTCTCCTTCCTCTCCCTCCCTCTTTCTCTCTGCCCATCCCTTCTCCCTCCCTCTTTCTGCTGCTCTTTCTCTCCTTCCCCTTCCTTCTTCCTTCCCCCTCCCCCTTTTTCTCCTTCCTTTCCCCACACCTCCCTTCCCCTTACCCCTTCCTCTTCCTCCTCCCTCTCCCCCTCCCCCTCCCTTCCCCTTCCTTCTCCTTCCTTCTCCTTTCCCTTCCCCCTCCCCCCTCTCTCTTTTTCCCCTTCCCCTTCCTTCTCCTTTCCCTTAACACACCCCTACTCGAAGGGGGTTGGAGGGGTGGGGTGGGGGGTAGGGGTTTGTATAGGATGGCATATTATAATAGAAAAGGAGGGGGAGGGGGGATAAGAGGGTATGGGGGGGTAAAAGGGGTTATTTGGGTAGAGGGTTAGCGGGGGGGGGGGGTGAAGAGGAGGAGGAGGAGGAGGAGGGAAAGTGGTGGGTGGGGGAGGGAGGGGGGAGAGTGGGTCAGGACCTCCTCTTCTTTTCTTTTCTTTTTCTTTTTTCTTTCTTTCTTTCCTTTTCTCCTCGCTGCCTCTCCTCCCGCTGTGCTTCTCCCCCTCCCCCCTCTCTCCCTCTTCTTCCTCCCTCCCCCCCTCTCTCCCCCTTCTTCCCCCCTCCCCCCCTCGAAGAATGTCACTGTCTGTCTCGCTTCCTTTCCTTTTGTGATGTTTATTCGTTTCCTTTATTTTTATTTTTATTTCTTTATTTCTTTTCTTTTCTTTTCTCGTCTTTTCTTTCGTTCTGTTTTCTTTACGTCTCCAGTTTTATTGCTTCCTTTTTTTT